TACAGAAGAAACAAAAAAGTAAGAAGATATGACTCTTTTAATTTTTTTAAAAGTTTTTTAATTTTTTTGCAAACCTAAATATTTAATATCCTAGATTGGACTTTCTCTTGTTTTTTTTTCTCCTTTTAGATTTAAGATCAAGCACATTTGACATTTGAAGCTCCCAAAATGTATATTTTTTCTTATAAAAAATTTTAGATTAAATGTTAATTTTGATCTATTAACTTTAGAATTTTGCAATAATTTTCATCTGAAAGTTTTTTTTATATATTTTCGGGTCCCTCAATTATGAAAATGTACTTTTTTTGAACAATACCTGCTACACTACATCCACAACATAGGGATATGATGACACGTTTGGCAATAGCTATAAGATTGGTAGTGGCAATTTTCACAGGTCTAGTATTGATAATGTTCCAAACCTTTTTACACCACATCAAACCCAACCTAGTAGTTCATCAAACAGATCAGAAACTCCATCAACAACTCAACGAAAAAATAGCTTTAATAGATTTCTACATTCAAATTGTTTTGAGTTTTATGATGATGATGATGTGGGTAATGGGTAGATACTTTATGTTGATCCCATGTTAATGAGAATGTTGGGTTTAATCTTGAATTTGTTACATTGTTTTTGCTGTATATATTTTGCATGTTTCTAAACTTAATAATACTTAAATACAATTGAACTTATTATTTTTATCTATATATACTTATACTAGGTTGAATGGATTGAAACAAGTTTAAAATTGCGTCTTACATCAAGTGTTTATACACATATTAATATGCAAATGAGGTTTAGTTTTATACTTATTTGGATGAAATATGTTATGTTGGTAGAAGGATTAATATATTGATATGTAGGTTTACATGTCATTTTCATTAGGTGTTTCATATTTACAAAAGCAATTTTTTTTTTTATGAGGTCTCTTATAAATCATATGGTTGGATTTTTTTTAGGTTTTTAAGTCAGCAACAATGATGCTAACTGATATGAAAATTTCAAAAAATTTTGAAGCCCACGAAGTCTTCCCACCACTTTTGACTAAATTATTGTATGTGTTAACAATGTTGAAGCAAATAATATTGATTGACACAAATGTTTCTATATATATATCACCCATAGTAGATCTCTTCCCACCATGCCATTTCTCTTCTTGTTCTTCAGATTCATTTCTCTCTTCTTCCTATACTTCTCCCTATTTTCGTTTCATTTTCTCAATTTCTTACTCTTCTTCTTTTTCATAAACTAATTTTATTCTCATGAAATTTTTGTGACAATCCAATGGTATGTTCTTTAGCCCATAAATTCATCTATTTTATTATAATTTTT